AGGAGGTCAACTGTCCGACAAACGCTAATCATTGACCCTGAATTTGGTAAAAGCCGAATAATTTTACATAAAATTTTTTTGATTTCTTTATTACAGAAAGGCGTACATACATATGTAAATGTATGGAATTTGTATTTATTTCCTTAGAGCTCATATGTGGGCATATTTAAACTGACTAATAAAACATTTTATTGCCACTATTAGGTTGCTTAAAAAAAACAAAATGGTTTTGTTTTGAAAAAAATTATAATATTTTAGTAAAAATATAAGTTGGTTCGCTGGAGTGATAAAGAAACAAAATGGAGCTAAGTTGCCACCTTTTTTTAAATGTCGAATTAAGAGTTTAAAAGGCTAAAAACAGTAAAAATGATATTCACTGTTAAGCGAAGGTGTTGCAAATTTTTTTTTCATTTTCCATATGTAACAAATATATTTAATTTCTTAAACCTTATTATTTAGAGTACAAAAAAAAATTAAAAGTAATTTTTGCTGAGCATAAGGTCTTAATACCAAAAGTTTCAGATCTCTATTCCTTACTCTTCTCGAATGATTTTAAATAAGTTAATTGTTATTTGTAAAATGTTCTTAGTTTACGTTTTCAAACGATTTCTGTAATAAGAGCATAATTATAAACACATTTGCTTTAAAGATTATTTTATTTAATTTTGTTTTATTTTATTTTATTTTATTTTATTTTATTTTATTTTATTTTATTTTATTTTATTTTATTTTATTTTATTTTATTTTATTTTATTTTATTTTATTTTATTTTATTTTATTTTATTTTATTTTATTTTATTTTATTTTATTTTAGGTTATTTATTTTTGAAATTTATTTAATTTAATTTTTATTTAGTTTTATTTCTTCTTGATTCAATATTATTTTATTCAATATAGTTTTTTGTTTTGGTTTATGTTATTTTGTTTTCTTTTATTTGCATTTTTGGGTAAGGAATTTATTATTATATTATTAGTATATATTTTTAACAAATAACCTCTGGCAACGTTGTCAATTTTAGTTTTTGCCATACGCTCTGTTCGTCCTTTTCAGGCCTTACGGTTATTTGTTGTATTAATTTTTTTTTCTGTTTCTGTTTTCTTTGGTATTCTTTTGTTTTTGTTTTCATATTTAACCTTTACCTCTTTTTTTTCTTGTCTGCCATAAATTTAACAGTCATTATTTTGATGGCAATGGTTTAATGTTTATTTTACTTTGCGTCTTGCCATTTATTACGGGGGTGTTTCCTGTCGAAATGTCAGTTGACATATACAAAAGGTTGTCTGTATTTAAGCTGCATGTTTGTGCGTATATTAGGCTTTGAGTGTACAACTGTGAGTGAGCGTGCATGTGTGTGTGTTAAAAATGGCATTTCGTGCTTGATTGTTTGGCGACTTTCTTGTTTGTTATTATTGTATTTACTTGTCAGTCCGGTCTGTATTTCTATGTATATATACACCTGCATGTGGTACATGTATATGTTTTGGCTCTTTTTTCATAATGGCTGAATTATAACTGTACGAACCCTTCGATTGTTGTTATGATAACTGTTTTTTTTTATAAATGTATTTACACTGACCTTGAGTGTTATTTGCGCTGTTGCATATACACACTGTATTTGGGGTTATTTCACTTAGGCATATGGCTGTGTACGTATGTATGTACATGAACTGGTGGCGCAATTAATGTATATTACATGATAATTTATTGTATGTACATTTAAGTACAGCTATTTAAACCGTTTTCTTTTCCTAAACATTCAACTGTTCGCTTTGTCAAAGTTACCTGAATGTTTGCCTATGTGTATGTACGAGTATATGTATTATTTATACTTTAGTTGCTTTTCTGCCTTCGTTAAAATTTCTTCCATTATTTAACTTAGTTTGATTGCACTTGAACTTGTCAACGACAGCTGATAATCGCTGGGCACTGTCGTGGTCGCTGTCACTGCCGTCAAGGTAAGAAATAACTGCGGCATTGGGGTTTCAAAAGAACAAGGCTTTCGTTATAGCTGAAGAAACTCCAAAGAAAATTATAGAAAAAATAAAAACATACAAAATGAAGAAAATTAACATATAAAACAAGACGCGTTTGAAAACTTGGGCTTGTTATACACACATTTATATATATAAATATAAATATATAATGGGAAGCAATTTTTTTCAGTTTGTGTAAGTACTTTTAAAATAAACACATTTTTCTATTGTCCGCTTATATTTCTTTGTGCCTGTTTTTAACCGTATGGCAAATGCTGAGCAAGTGTGGCAGATACGAGTCCATCTAGCGAATGCGTCATGCCTTCTTTTATGGAAGCGCGTTATATGTGCTTACATACATACAGTTCTTTATATTTATTAAAAACACTAACAGACGTATATCATTTTTATGCGCTTATTTTTGAGCTTACACAAGCCGCTGTCATGCTTTTAAGGTATGAAGAGATAAGAGATCTGAGAAATTGAGGCAGCGAAGAGTGTTTAACTAATATGAAAAAAGACTTGAGAAATTCTAGTCTAAAAATATTTGGGATATATATTATATTCTATTTGAAAGAAAAATGCTTAAAGAGGATTACCTAAACAAAGTATTGGGATTGTTGCCACCTATTTCTAGTTATTAAATTCAATTGTTAAAATAATAATTTTTTGTTTGTGGTGGCGTATAAGCTGATTTGGAATTTTATTGCATTAAAACGTATCTATTTTTAGTTAGTTCGTAGTCGTATTAGTTGTTCACAACGACAAAATGAGCATAGTGCAAGTCGTTGAGCCCGACGCTTAATACTGTTTACACAGGAAGTGTACAAGATTGCTAAGCAAATCACTAATACGACAACATATTAAAATTCTGATGGTTAGTTCGAACTCTGCCAAAAAAAGTCTGAAGAAGAGACAGTTGCCGCCTACATTCTTCAATTCATACAAAAACAAATAGACCTTTTGCTCACTAACTCTCAACGAGCCTAATTTTGCTTTTACTCGGATTATGGGTTGAAATTTCTTTGAGCTACTCATATACTGTGGTTAGCAGGTTCTGGATGGCGAGAAAGTAAAAAGAAATGTGTTTGTAGAGAAGGCGATGAATTTGTGAATATTTTATTTTGCCAAAAAACCTTTTCATGTTACTCGAATCTCTTACTGCTCTGATATATATTTAAGCTGGGAAGCAAGAAACGATAGCTTGAGACTAAATATTTGGAATACTATGTATGCTGTATCAAATCACAGCCCAATATATGAATTTTTGGCATTGTGGCTTAACATATGCCAGACTACCTTGGAGTTGCGCTATGTTATTCACCAAAGACTTAAATATGAATGTTTGCGTAGTAAATGATGTAGTAAATGACACCTCGAGCATAACAAAAAACTGCGATATTCAACTTGAAGGCCGAGATAACCCCCTGAGTTTACTACAGTATACCCTCATCCGGCTAAAGTAACCAACTCTCTACATGGTTTCATCGTCTTGTTTCGTCTACGATAAAAAACCATTTTCGTTTTTTTATATTGTCAAACAGTACTTTGAAGCGAACTCCGCGCGTTTGGTCGAGTGTGAGTAAACGAGACACCCGTCGTACAGTTAGTTTTTTTCAATCAAGGATTTGAGTTTCCGTGAAGAAAAATACTTATTTCGTAACGAGTCTCAAAATGAAACGGCCGAGACCACTATGAGGAGGCCGAATAGTTATTTCTATCTCTACCATTATGTTATGTCCGAATAGCAACTGCCCACCTAAGTAGTATTAAAGCGATGAGAGGCAATATATAATCGGTCATTTAAAAACGGCATCAGATTCTTTGCAGAATATTGTCGGAGAAGTTTTTGCAAAATGACGAGGCTCTGAGTTTACTCTTCCTATTCCTAGAGTCATATGAGAGTATAATTGAACCACCTGGTGTCCCCTTCCTCTTTGACAGACCTCACAGTTCCTTATGAATTCTCCATACCGGACTGTTAGCAAAGTGAATGGGTCTGGTAGTGAGCGAGGAGAAGGCAAATTATCTCATCTTATCAAACGAACAGTCAGGCAGACAATATCGATATCGGAGGTACGGTCTTGGTAGAGAACTTCGTTGGCTGATCGGTGAGGTAAATGGCGGGAAAGACCGCCACTCCGTGGGAAGTGGCAGTTGGAGACGCATTTGGTATTTCCAAATGGTGCTCTAGAGCGTAGCAAAGAAAGAACCATCATACTGTTGTTAATCTCGAAAACATTTCATACGCCAATCAAGGAAAAGAAGATGACGTGTGTTTATAAATATTTTTTTTTTTTATGATTACAAAGCATTATACCGCGTGAAAAATAAATCTCATATTTTACCTGTCTCATCGCACCCAATTAGTCACAAACCATTCAGTACACAGAGTTTCACAGATGATACATACATACGTGTGACAATGACAGTTTGCACAATTTCAAGGATATATAAAAATAGATGTTTACATAAATTTTGCATTTTTAATTGCACTTGGTTATTTAGCGCACACCCATATATGAATACAAGAATCGCGTGTATGAAGTGTGTTTTTATATGCATGTATTTTAAATATTTTTATGTAAAAACACAACATAAATAATTTCGCTACACACACTAATGAATATAATTTTTCTATTTATTTCAGAAATTTTCATATTTACATAGGTAAATATGCCCCAGAGGCTGCTTATGCTATTTGTTAATTAACCACACTGCTTGTCGTTACAATTTTAGTTAATTACTATATATATATATATATTTAGACGCATATATGTTGATATACAAATGTTAATGACTCTATTATGATATTATTTATTAGTTAATTTATATAACATAAGTCATGCATGGTTGCTATTAAAATGTGTTATCATTTTGTTAATACATTTTATATAAGATTAATTACTGTCTTTTTTTAAGTAAGATTTATAGACATTTCATAACTTGATTGTACTTGGTATAATTCATCAAATTTCTATTATTTAAATCTATGTAAATGACCAAGGTGTGTTGTATGTACATACCTGCATCTTCGTATCCAATATGATATTACTGCAATACCGGCTATGACAATGGCCCCCAAGGCACACCAAGAAACGGTCTGGGAGAGAAGAGCATACATAATAGAAGTATGAAAATAATTTAAATATATTCGAATATAAATTATAGAATTTTTGTAAAAGTAAATATTTGCATTTGTTTTAATAAAGTCATATCTAGTCTGTGGGTGTCATGTCGTATGATGAACATTTTTCATATAAAATTTTTCTGAACACAAAATTATTCTTTAGCATTATTTTCTAATTAAAGCCATTTGATATGAATAATTGCTAACCTTGTTTATTAAAACTGAAGAAAAAGTCGCCCATATATGCATATATGTTTCTACATGTGTGCATACATATACATATATGTGGGGCTGCGATTAATTGCCGGTTCTGCGTGAAATTGCAGCTGTTTCGCCATGGCGAAATGGGATTGGTTTTTTTTGAGCGAAGGTTTATTTTTGAATAGCGTATAATTTTCAAAGAAACTATTTAAAAGCTTTAATTGGCATCATATTTCTTGTGACAAGGAAAGTTAATAACTGAAAGTGAGACTTTATTATTCTTAAATTTTTTTTTATAGGAGGCAACTTGGATCAGTCAGTTAAAATAAAAAAAAATTAATAAGCAAAAGTCGATATTAGACTGACAATAGAAAATCTGGTCGCTTTATTTTTTGAGAGATATATGCAAAAGACGCTCACTCGAATTTTTTTTCTACTTTCCCTTTAAAGCATTTATCGATCGTCGATCGAATTTTCGTGATATTTTTACTTTTAAAAATTACCAAGGAACTGGGTATGAACTTGGTACTGCTGTAACCATTTGTAAAATGGGTCGTACTAATGTGAACCAAGTTTCATCAAAATATTTTAATCCATATTTCAGATATCGTGAACAAACGCAGGCGGAGGGACGGATATACACATGAAAAGACGAAAAGGCTAATAGATCTGGCTAAATTGGTTGATTATCATGCGGAAAGTAATGAGCTAACATTCTAGCGAAAATGATAGAAATCTAGTCTTCATTTCGGAGGCTGCGGAGAATAAATTGACATCAAGGCGTGCAACAAAACCAAAAATTAATTCAGCCATTATCTAGCACTTTGTAGAATAGAACAGTATCATAATTAGCTGTGTATCTTATGCAATAAAAAGTTAGCAGCCTTCTGATGTCCTAACATGTAATGACCAGAAAGATTGCTTATATTTTCGAAATTTCTTGCGATCCTTTCGCAAAAGTTTGTTAAAGATGTCCACCTAAAGCTTGAACGAGCTTGAAGAGCTTGAACGTTTTAATTTTCGAGTAAATTTGCTTGTTGGAAATTTTCCACCGCCTGAGAGTATCCTTTGATAGCTCTGTGCTAAGGAAGATGTATTTCAGTTTGGTTCTGAATAGATTGGTTAGAGTTCAGCCAGGAAGTCTTTTATTTTTAAGGTTGATCTCATTTTGATATTTTGTCTTCATAATAGCAGAGTTTTCTGTTGGAAAAAATTCGACACTGCTATCATGCGTGTCGTCTCTAAACACGAAATTTACTTATCACAGTCAAACTTGTTGAAAATGCATCCAATAGTTCAGTATATATTTGCACCTTTCCTGTTCTTGAAATGGTAAATTAACTTTGGCCCGAAGTATATTAGTAGCAGAAAGAAACCGATCCGATCAGAAGCCACACAAATCAGTCCCTCACTTTTTAAGATATTTCAACCAAACTTGATAGTCGCCGCACAGTCCCTTAAACGACCGTTATTTCAGATTTGAGTGTTTGGAAATTTGGTTCTCTACAGACATATGATGAATTTGTAACATACAGCTCTGATTCCGATTGCTTCAGATTTTAGGCTTTGGTTCAAAAATACGTAAAAAAGGAATTTAGTGTCCTACACAAATAATCATTTTCCCCGAAAATCATTGCAATCTAGAATTTTCTCATATAGCCCCTTCCAACCGAGTTTTCAGATAAGAGAACTAATATTCAAACCTCATGAAACATCATAAATTTTATATGGTCATAGAAGGTATGAAGAGTTCGACATGACTAAAATTAGTTACCCCCTGTGGGTTAGGGGTTCAAGAATTTCCCGCGGTAAGGCGTGCTTTTCGTAAGAGGTGACTTTAATCCAATAGTTACCACGACAGTCGGGTCTCTACACCGGAACGACCCGGATTTTTATTCGGCCAAGGACTGTCACTCCCGCAACATACCCCAAAAAGTACTGTGGGGAATATTTTTGCGGTTACAACAACCACAACAACTACAATAATTGAAATCAGTTTTTTTATGTTTTAAAAACATTTTTATTTTTTTATTTCTGGTTTTATTTTTATTTATATTTATATTTATATTTTAATTTTAATTTTAATTTTAATTTTAATTTTAATTTTTATTTTTATTTTTATTTTTATTTTTATTTTTATTTTTATTTTTGTTTTTATTTTTATTTTTATTTTTATTTTTATTTTTATTTTTATTTTTATTTTTATTTTTATTTTTATTTTTATTTTTATTTATAGCTGTCATATTCCGATTGCTTAAAATTTAGGCTTCGGTTCAAAATTACGTCAAAAGAAAGGAAATTTGGAGTCCTACACAAATAAACATTTTTGCCGAAAATCATTGCAACCGGAAAACTTTCTTTCTATTGCCCCTTCCATACTGCTTGTGAGATATGCGAATTAATATTTAAACTTCATGAAATACCATAAATTTTATATGGTCATGGAAGGTATGAAGAGTTTGGCATGACTAAAATCAGTTACCTCCTGCGGGTTAGCAGTTCAAGGATTTTCCGCGGTAAGGCGTGCCTTTCGTAAGAGGTGACATCAATCCAATAGTTCCTACGGCCGTCGGGTCTTTACACCGGAACGACCAGGATTTTTATTCGGCCAAGGACGGTCACTACCGCAACATTCCCCAAAAAGTACTCTTGGGAATATTTTAGCGGTTAGATCAACAACAACAACAATAACAACTGAAATCAGCTTTTTATGTTTTAAAACATTTTTATTTTTTATTTCGGTTTTATTTTTATTTATATTTTTATTTTTCATTTTATTTTTATTTTTATTTAATTTTTATTTATATTTTTATTTATAGCTCTCATATTCCGATTGCTTAAAATTTAGGCTTCGGTTTGAAATTCCTTAAAAGAAAGGAAATTTGGAATCCTACATAAATACACATTTTTATCGAAAGTCATTGCAATCGAAAAACTTTCTTTCTATTACCCCTTCCATCCTGCTTGTGAGATATGCGAATTAATATTTAAACTTCATGAAATACCATAAATGGTTTCGGTTTTTTATTATTGATTTTTTATTTTATTTTTATTTTTATTTTTTTTTTTTTATTTTTATTTTTATTTTTATTTTCCAACCGATGGCAACTCAGTTCTACTACATATTTATTACTACAAGTAAAAATTATTTTTTTTTAAATTTCTTAGATATTTTATTTTGAAAGAAGTTTCAACTTCCACTGTCCTCCAGTAGCAAAAGTGCCTAATTGCTCATTATAACTTCATTAAAATACAACTTTTCGAATTTACCCACCCGTTATAATCATTTGTGCACTTTACCTTCAAGATAAGTCTACACTGCAAATGAACTACATAATTCCAGCCCATTTCTTTCTCATTTTCTTCGATTGTTCACACTAATGACGCCATAATATCTATAGCCTGAGTCTCATGGTATCATTAAGACAGCCGCCTATTGTCATTATACTGCAAATTGATAACAACCCAATGGCAATTTCAAAGAACTTACATAGAAAACATTTGCTTTGCATGCAAGAATGCAATTCTTCTCACAGTTAAGTGAAAACTTTTGGGCATGTCACACTCGAAATGAGCTGGTGAAAAACGAAACCGCAATAAAAAACTATAAGAAAATAATAAAAAGCAGCAAAATAGAAATATACCAACAACAATAGTTGGTGTCCAACATTTGAGCAGACATTTCACATTACTATGGGCGACGATTGTTATTATCTTTTTGGCAATCATTTTCTTTTCATACTACTTCCGTCACTCACACACTCAATCACACACACACACACACTAACCTACTCTTTCAATTGTATTGGCTCTCGGCCAAGCAGTACAAAGCCTGCATGCAAGACTGACTGACTTTGTGTATATATGTATATATATGTGTGTGTGTGTGTCTTAGCGGTAACTGCAATACCAGAAAATCATTCAAATGTAAACCAAAAATGAACTTTCCTCGAGTGACGATAGATTTTTTATTGTTTTACAAATGTATGAAAAATTATAGCTTTCTTCGTGTTTGACAGCCAATCGCAACCACAATTTGGAAGTATTGTATATACAATACAAGTAAGTAGACAAAATGCCGCCGGCAATAATTTTTCCTGTTGTTGGCAAGCGCCAAAAGTTGACTGCCGCTTATTGTTTGTATGTATGCATACATGCCACATGCTGCGGTGCGGATTGTAGAAGAAATGCATTTACATGATTTTGGTTGCTAATTCATGAATATTTCTTTACTCTATGACTAACTGAAAAACTTGAAATTAGTCCGCATAAATACTGCATCAGAAAATAATTAATTAACACATTTTAAATGGTTCGCTCATGCAAAGTCAATGAAAAATTCAATGTGAAGAATATTTTCTTAGGTTATGTTCAGTTAGATTATACTGTTATGCTGCTACGCCTTAGATAGATTTATTGGTTTTTCTAAGCTGTCAGATCAAGGTTGATTTAAAAGAAAGTAGTCATCGCGGCGGTGATGAAGTTTAAGAGGCTCCTATTTTCAAACTTTCTTTAGTCTCTAATTTCTATGACGAATTCTAGATAAGACAATAGTAAATTTCTTACTCTCTTGTCTTCTTTTCAATATTTCTTGCGTCACGGCTACTACTACGCATGTTGCCCACGTGTGCTGACAGCATGTTTTCGGCTGTTAGATCTGTAAGATCTGTAGCTGTCTTACAGCTTTTTCGAAACTCTGTAAATATAAATGGGCTTTTCTTAACCTCGCATATGAAATCGGCTAGCTTTATGCTATTACGGCATTTTTTGTCACTTCGAGCCGTCTTTCAGCTCTCTTATGCATTCTATTGTGTAAAGTCCTTAGCATCTGCTCTATTTTATATTAAGGTTCAGTCTTCGATTTTGCGAATCGTATTAAATTTTTGGCTCCCTCCAATGCCCTTGTGTTTTATGGAACCCAGTAGATATGAAGTTGCTTCCTTACAACCACCTTATATACTGCCCCCCTGTTTCCAAAGGCATTTGCGAACGTAATAGAATGTAAGATTATTGCCTTGATTGAGGTCTGGTTATCAAACTTTTATAGGTAGGTCTGCTTTATCAGGCTTCTTGCGGTGTTGATAAGCTTAGCGGAAGATCGAAGGGTTGTCTGAGATCTAGCTCAGCACAAAAGACTCCAGCGTTCACTCCATAAGCTTTTCTAAATCTTCCTGCGGTTATTGTAAGTTCAACATGTGTTGCACAGTTCATCCATTCTTCTTTCAATTTAGTATGACACTGCTTTTTCCCTATAAAGCCCATGAAGCTGTCTTCTATCATCCATTCCCTTGCTTCAAGCAAAATATGTACTTAACGTAACCAATCTCACAGCAACTTTCGCTGCATTAATGTAAATCTTTCTCGGCCATAATCGCGTAGGCAGTATATGTGCCAGTAAAGTAAGTAAGTAAGTAAGTAAGTAATGTAGTTCTTAGCACTTCTTTTATGCAAAGTGCGCCGAGCAGCTGGGTTCATTCCAATTTTTTTTTTGCATGAGACCTTGCTGCACCGTGGTTAACTCCATCCTACCATATTGAGTAAAATTGGCTGGACTATTGCTGTGTGTCACCAATACATTAAATGCTTAAAAAGCACTGCTGACCTTTTATGACTTCTGCAACTTATTTAGATTTCACAGTAGCTTATAATGAGGTACTTAATGTAATGCTGAATTGATAACTCCATCTTCAGAGGCTCAAAACTTTCCACTCAGGGATCCTGTCCTTTTCTGTAAAAGTACTGTATTTGTTTTGATGGCATTTACCTCTAAGTTTTTTCTTCAAAAATCGTTCAGAAACTCGTTTGCTATTCTTGACCGGAAAAGTGTAATAATTCTTGCTGAAGAGTCCATCTACATATTAGTTTATGTAGTATGGCTTCAGTCTTCAACAGGTTTTGTCAATTAAGTATTATTAAAAAAAAAAATTGCATCCACTGAGGTTTTTTTAAAGATGTGATTTGAAAAAGAAATAAAACAGTTTAATGTGGGCTACCGCGGTATTCAAGTGGTAAGCATTGCGTACTGCCATTCGGAAGGCCTGTGTTCAAATCCTGGTACGACCAACCTCCATAAGTTACAGATCTTTTTTGAAATGAAATAAAGGCTCCTCGTAAAAAAAAGTCAACTGTTCGGGGGCGGCTTTGTATAGATTGTAGGTTTCACCATTTGTCGGAAAAACATCAAAAACCAACGGTTACAAAGCACCACTTATAGATTATAGTTTAACTTTATGGCCAAGAATTTAGCGTCACTATAAAAATAAGAATTGTGTCATTATGTTCTAGAAATAGTTTAGGCTTTCTCCGCAGCTGGCTCATATAAATTGCAGCCGAGAGGCTCAGCACAATTTTGAAAGCTCTGGCACAGGCCCATGACGAGATATAATATGCGCACCAAAATTGTTCTATAAATTGATTTATTTATTGCCACGGGTTGTCCAAATAAACTTCCTCCCATTCAGTCACGAAAAACTATAAATGACCATTGCTGCATTATTGTGGTTGAAGTTATTTTTGAAGAAATATGGAGCACTAACCCACATCTCCGAGAGTCGGCAGGGAATGTCCCCCCCTCCGAGAGTTCTTCGGACATGAAATAAAGCCTCTCATAATAATCTACCGGCAGTGCGAGGGCGGCTTATAATAATCAGCAGGTCTCTCCATACCTTGGAAAACCGTCTAGGCGTAAAACCACAAATTGGAGGACGAGCTCGGCCGCTTCTGCGGTTACAAAGCGTCAATTATAATTATATTAACCCTCTCTACACTTAGAGCGCACCAAAGATTGTTTGTAACGACATCTTGTGGCTTGCGGATTATCATAATTTCGAATCCATCAATTTTGTTTATTAACGTACCCATTCAACAATATATTTGCTGACCATTTTATAGGATAATGTTTTGTGACGGCGGCTTTTCACTGTTAAAGCAACCATTTAACCTCAAAGCAATGAGTATAACTGTTGCTACTCTGTATAGAGATTTGCAACTGGGAATCAGAGGCACACATACATATTTGCCTTTAGATTTCTTATGCACATAAATATAACGGTGCATCCGATACCAAAAATAAATAGAGCATTATTTACCGTTGATTATTTACTGTACATAACCGTGTGTGTTTGTGTGATTAAATATGTATGTTCGCGCGTCATCTGCATGCAAATTATTGTATTTATTCTCACGTATTTTAGTTTTGTTTATTTATACTTTTGCGCACATACACGTACAAAAATATGCAGCTGCTTTATTCGGTTGTTCGTTTGGTACATTTTCTCCCGTTCATTAGAAAACTCATTGTGCATGCAAATTTTGTATTGCCAAATAAATATAAATACACATGAAATATAAATTAATTTCGCGTGCACAGACACGTTTGAAATATCGTTTTTTTTATTTTAATTTCAGTAATTAAGCGCCGCGACAGCAATATAATATTATTCGGGTTTTAGGTAATAAAATTTTATTTTATTTGAGGCAATAAGGAAACTGTGGGGGGGCATATCAAGCTTCTTACATACAGTAGGAAACGAAACTATTGGTTTACGGAAAGGTCAAGAGAGCAGCTACTATATTAGAATTTCCGCGCAGCAGGGGAGAGAAAACAGGCTGCCCTCCTCGTATCATTATTGTCGACTAATATATTGTACATGTGCGGGGTGGGATAGGCAACGAGAGTTTAACAGGAAAACGAAGCGATAGGGGTAATGCTCGAAAATTCTACAAAAAGATGCGGATACCTACAGGTGTCAAGATCAGAATACATCGATTATTGTGTTATAAGTCTTCTAAATACAGCATAGAAGTTCTTAAAGGGCGTGTTGTGTGAAATATCAGAACCCATCGTTAACAAAATGATTTGACTTTATCAGTGTGGTTTTCAACCGCATAAATCCAGCATTGACGAGATATTCACCATGCACCAAATCTTGGAAAAGACCTCTTCGTCGATTTTAATGTAGTCTTCGAAAGCATTAAAATACTACTTTGTCTGAATTTGGTATTCCTCCAACACTTAAACGGCTGTTTAAACAGACTTTAAGCAACACCAAAAGCTCCGTCAGGATAAAGAGGACCGAGCCGTTTGATATCAAACCAGGTTTTAGACAAGATAATTCCTAATGGTGACTTCTTTAAACTATTGCTGGAGAGTATAATATGAATAGTTTAACTGAAAATTGAAAGGTTCGCCATGTCGTATGAAGAATATTTTGCTGTTAGGGGAAAAAAGCAACAGATTGAAATGAATGTAAATTAAGCTTGCTTGCAGATCTTTAAGTTGCTTATAATACCGAAACTTCTCCTCTTTGGTATTTAACAGTTTTTGCAACAATTGATAGGAAATTATGACCCAGCGGATCGGAAAACATTTTCGCAGATTAGCGGTATCTGGTGTACAAAGAGTGAGCATGAATACTACACTTTAACTTCACTTGTTAACATTTCTTGTAATTAGTTTTCACTCGATTTCATCATTAAACGGAATTAATTAAATTGAAAATATAGGTTTTTTTTACTCACAATCCAATAGTGTGATTCAGCACGTTCTCTCAAATTAACTTTCATTTCACGTTTATGGCGTGTGTCGCAGAGTTAATCTGGAAATAAAGGGAAAATATGTAAGTCTCTGAAGTAAAATTATGCTCTAGTTGTTATCAAAAAAGCTTTAAAGTAAATTTAAAATTATGTATGTAAGTGGCAATAATATAAAAATTATATTGAATTTTTTTTTGTACTTTAAATATGTCTTAAAAATATAAAAAAATATATTTATATCATTTTTTCTCTCAAAATAATTCGGTAATTTTATTTTAAATCAACCTTTAAGTGTTTTCATTTAATGCTTACTTTTGCTTGAGAGCGTGTTATTACATTTCATTATTTATTTGTTTACATTTTGATTACATATATTTGTGTATACCACTTTGGCAAGTAAAGTAAAGAAAGTAAAGTGCAAAAACTTAACAATTTACGTTTTTTGTTTAGATTTCACACCCACAAAAGCAGTCAATTGGTTTGTTTGTAGGCGTTGATCCTGCGGAAAGTCATGCGGCAACACCTACGCACTTTGCAATTTGACTCAATTGAGGGAGCGCTGTGTTGCTGTATCATCAGTTAGTTGTATTTCTTACCAATAAAACCAACAAAAAACCTACATATAAATATTTTTAACATTCTATAACGTAGCACCAGCATCCTGTGGGAATATGGGGAATCGTAGTAAGTGAGTGGCTTAAACTTTTGACGTTTTCGCCCAAAAAGCCTACGCAGAATGCCATTTGCCTTTGTTGCTTACAAAGTATGACTATAATTATTATCATTATTTTTTAAATCATACAAATCGGTGTATAGCGTGGGAGTTGGAGAGGCGTAAGTGTTATTTATGCGTGAAGTTTGTCTCGGCGCAAATGAATTTTGGCTTTTGCGAAATGCCATTTTTTTGGAGTTTTCTATCTATTCTTTTTTTATTTTGGCCATAGCCTTGTTTAGAGTATTATCAAAGTATTATTTTAGGGTTAGAAAGGCAATCCTGAAAATGGTATTTGTGGTTGAAATTCAAATTTGAAAAATTGTCTATAAGAAATAGATAAAAAAAATTGTTTCGCAATTTTTTTTCGGAGAAAAAATATTTTAGAAGCGTTCATTAAATATTTAAGATTCCGTTGCCTTTATTTATTTCCTTAAATTCAGACACTCAGTTTAAATTTGAATAAAAGTATAAAATTTCAACATAGGGGTCCTTTCTTCAAATTAAACCTAATACATATAAGAACTCAAGATTTTGTTCGAGCATTTTCTAGCTGTTCGCGCATTTGAACAACGAGTATTCGCACATACGTTCATTGCTAGAATTTTGAATAAAAAATTTAATTTTGGCCCAGAACTTTCTTCTATAATTTTAATTTTATTTATGCAAAGTTTTGTAATGTACAATTGTAAAATAGTTTGTAGTATGCATGGTTAATGAAAACCGGGTTCGATAGGAATAGAAGAAGAGTCGAGCGGGAGCCTTTGAAACGCTAGCTAGCAGTCGGGATGGGGGGAATTCTTGACACTTCAACTTCCACTATTTGCACATAAGCACATAAACGATTATTATAGACTCCCTTGTTTCACAACAAAATAAAAAAATTTAATACAACATCTGCTCTAAGATTAAATGGACCAAGGCCAATCATACAAACAAAAGAAAATCCCCTGTATGATCGGGACATACTGTGAAGAAAACTAAAGAACAAAAAAAAAAACAAAGCTACTCGATCAACTGGTTAGCAGAAGAAATATACAATTATATCTTAAAGGCGTTATTAAGATATGCGCTTCTTTAACCCACCCTACCTTGACTTTGCGATGCGCGAAAATAGTATGCAAAGTCCCTAATCTTCTACTTAACCATATTCCACCATATCACAGTAAAATTCTTAATTTAAGAATTCATATTTGAAATTTAAAATTTTATTCACATTCTTAATATTATTTACAAAATGGAGGTAAAGTATAGGGAAATTCAAAGTAGACTACTTCAATAAAACATCTTAAAAATATACATTTTGAGCTTTAGATTACTAGAAAAGAAAACTAATTTATGCAAATGTACTGTTTCAAAATAACACAAAAAAAACAATAACATGGGTAATGTTAAAGAAAACTAATAAAAAAAATAACTAGAAATTCAGTACAGGTGAAATTTACTTAAGATGCATGGCAACCATAGGCACTCTCTGTAATTTGCAAATCAGTTGTGCTCTTACATATTTACTCTACCCGCTCCTTCACAGATGAGGTGAGCCGGTGTAGCTAAACTAAAAGATCAGCCGATCGGTGAGCATCCTCAGCTGCGAATAAGCAAGCAGGAGAGTCAATGAATGTAATTACGGTAAGGTAATAAAATTCAATTCTCTCATACAAAAGATTAATACAAAACGTATAAGGAAAAAAATTGGTATAATAATTCGTATAAATATTATAGAAGTGCACTTACATTTTCCACTTATGGCATGATGATCGTCGAAGGCCTTCACGAAGATCAGCAATAATGTTGAAGCAGCTAATTAAATGATCATTACAATGTTATGAAATATGTACATATGTATGAGAAACTGCATACCCTGAATGCATTAAGTTGCCATACACGTGTGTTTTCTTTTTCTATAGCATAATTAAATTAGTATTATTATTATTGAAATATTCTTAATCTCTTTACCAAGCTTTAATTATAAAAAAACTTATATTTAAATAATACGTGTACGTTACACATCTATAACTTCATTTACTGTACTTTTTACGTTTTAAAGGATAATTCACATATTATAATTTTCTTTGAATTAATACTATTAGTCAAATATTCACTACACGCTCATAAATTTTTGGCATAAATAGCCAATTAATCAAGACGAAAGTTATTTTTCTTATTAATTTAGGCCATACTTCTGCCTTAATCTTCAAAGAGGACAATATTGCAACTGTAGTTGTCCAGAAAGTTGTATTATTGAATTAAATGGAGATCACCAAGTATTTTAACGAGGTGTCTGAACATTTTCACACGTAATAGATGAATTTCTCCGAATCCACGATGAAATGTTGCAACAGTATGGATTCTGAAGAGCTTTATAGAGCTGGTGATGAAATGCAAAGGCCAGATTCGCTGAGCGTGGCGAACCAAGTTGAGCGTTCCACGTGGTCCTGGTAAGATGATGGTGTAACTCACTTTTAGACACAAAATAGTCTTCGATCTGTTTTATAAAATGGTGATGTTTCCACTTCAAGAGTTAAATAGAAAAGGCCTCTCGTAATCTTTGCAAAATATTATAATGCTTCTGCTTGACATATAGATAAAATGAACTCAGTTGAGAGATGAACCCCAGTGTTGCATTTCTTTTGGGAGTTATCATGAAATTTCTCTGTATTATCAGATCACGATAGTTGGTTAAATTTTAGTAAAAAAATTTTTAAAATGTTCACTACAGTTTACAACTTATTGAAATACTAAAGACAGTTGACCAACGAACGAATATCGAGTGAGTACCGAACTACTCACATTGCTCTATAACCGAGAGTTTTAATACATATAAGAATAGTTAAATAAGTCAAAGTTAGCTGTATTCGCAAGGTTAAGCTCTTCTTTGGTATCTAAAAAAAGTTATCTTCAAAACTTTATAAGTGTGTATTCCATGGCGTATGAGCAACTTTAAATTTGTAAATGTATTTTTCTTTCCGTCTGAACTGAAATTTCTTCGGCATGGAGGTATTTACAGGCGAGATATGCCTAAAATTTTAATTATTGTAACGCAAAATTTTTTTAAAGCAACAAAGAAGTACTGGTCAAATCGAAGATTTTGTAGCCCTCTTGAACTTATCATATATATTACTAGATGCGAAACTCCATGACAATTCGATTCATTGATATTGAATTTATTTAAATTTACTTGCGTAACAAGCTAAATATTTTCTTTGACGAATTTGCGGCGAAAAACCTCATGACGAAATGAGTTGTATGTGGGCTGTGTATTACGGTCTTCAGATTTCGTTAATTTTCAGTATCAATGCTCATTTGTATGTGCGTGTATGAAATACATAATTTCATGCTCTTATAATAATTTTTATGGATTTCCTACCCAAAATATTATCTCTGAATAAATATCTTTTCCGATTTCAATGATTTTCGGTGAATACCAAATGTCTTACTCTTGAACGATTTTTCGTCGGAGTTCTTACAAAAGTGTCATCTAAACAAATTAGTTATATTGTTACTATAACTTATAGTGCTCAATGTCATTGTGTACATAATACCGAATTTCGCGCTCTCATATAACTTTTTGAGGAATTTTTTTAATCAAAATACAAATCTGAATTTCGGCCTTATTTGTTATACTGGTGGATTTTGATGGGCCTGTCCCATATATTTTTAGTCTCATTTCATGTACATGAAAGGAATAAATAAAAACTATAAGAACTATACTATAAAAAAAATCGCCATCAGTGATAAGGGCATAAAAATTAACAATGACAAAAAGGTGGAACTTCTAAGTATGAAAACACCAGTAACCGAGAATGCGATTTTCGGCCGAGCTTCTCTTGCCATTTGTTGGAGAAACCTCAAGATGTTCCCCATAAATGGAGGAACTCCAATTTTATTCTAAGACGATTCTAAAGAGCTGTATCATTATCATGAGGATTTTACAGAGCTCGACGTGTCGTATGAGTAACTTAGTAATAAAGTAAATACTTTTTGTATCAAAATTATGAGTAATTTAAAAGTCTAAAAATATAGTTTAGAAATTAAAAAAAAAAATACAAGTATCTAAAATGAGGAGCCGGCACAGATTTCCAAACGGTATGAGATTGCAAAACGTAATTATCACATGAAAATCAACAAGCACGAGAAGATATGAAGTATAAGTAATTCGTATTGAGTAAACCTTTTATTTCCTTCTAGAGACACAAAAACATTACTTGCAAACATGAAACGCATTAAAAATATTTATGTGTATAACCGACACTTTTTGGCCGCGCTCCTCCTCCTCATTATGTGCCTCTCAATTTGTTTCCTGCTCGTACATAGGTGGGTTATTGAGTATGAATAATCTTTGCGTCTTTA